CTGCCAGCTCTCTCAGCACTCTCGGGTGGATCCCATCCGGCCCCATAGACTTGTGAGCATCCAGGTGGTGTAGCAGGTCATTGACTGCTTCCTCTTGGATTATGGGGGGTTCATCCTGCTCGCCATCCCTGTCTTCCAGCTCAGGGGGCCGAGTACCCTGAGGATAACCGGTCTGCCTGTTAAAGACTGAGGCAAAGAAGGCATTAAGTACCTCAGTGTACCTGAGTACCTGAGTGTACCTCATGTGTAACAGTTACTTAAGAAGACAAATGCCTTAGCTCCGAATGTCCCTATCTCCCCCTTCCTCCTTCTTTCCCCAGCTTTTGTTGCTGAGCATGGTGTCATATGGTGTGGGATATCCCTTGGGTCAGCTGGGGTCAGCTGTCCCAGCACTGTCCCCTCCCAACCTCTTGTGCACCTCCAGCCTACTTGCTGGGGGACCAGCGTGAGAAACAGAGAAGGCCTTGATGCTGTGTAAGCACTGCTCAGCAATAGCCAAAACATGGGTGCGTTATCAACACTGTTTTGGTGACAAATCCAAAACACAGCACTCTGTGAGCTCCTATGAAGAAAATTAACTCTGCCCCAGCCAAAACCAGTACAAGCGTGGAAAATAAATGTGCTACAGAGTTGAAGCTGGGAAGGAGCATCAGTACAGAAATGGTGCAGAATGTACAGGGTGAAGTGGGCTGCTCAAAGTCTGCACTGGGGCAGAGCAAGGTTGTGTTCCTGGCAACTAAAACAAGGTAGTTTTGTTCTGTCATGGGAGCTTCTAAGAAGACTGGAGCAGGGAAAAGACTTGAGTGGGTACATCTATTGCAGGATGCCTGCCACTAATAAGAGGCACTCATGAAGGTGGTTATAGACTAAATGGAAGAGGCATTTCTAGTAGAACTCTGAGGAAATAGTTGGGAGATATTGAACTCTGGCCATGTTGGGAGATACTGGCTCAGATACTGGCTTTTTCTAGGCAAAGGAAATCTGATTGGTCTAAAATACTCAGTCTGAAGTTCAGTCAATCTGTACTGAATGCACGCCTATGTATATTTGTGGTCCTCGTGCCAGTCACTTGCCAACCAGGACTGGCAAGTCCTTCCTCCTGAGGACTTGATCACATCCATGATTAGTCAACTTCTGAATGACACAAAGCACATCTTGTCAGTGATGAGAAGTGCCACCTCCACTGTGCTTGTGCTCTGTGCCCTATTAGAGTGAGCATGATAATAGCTGACTGTCTCCTGCTGGGCAGGGTATCTGCTGGCACTAGTTTGAGGCCAGGATACTAGCCTGAGTGGGGTTTTTTTGTTGTTGGTTTTTGGTGGTTGGGGGGGGGGGGTTGAGGGTTCCACACCCTCCCCACTTCTAAAATGTTGAGAGGTTTTGCTGAGGGCGTTACTTGGAGTGTTTTGTGATCTCTCGTGTCAATTACTGATGTCTGCTTTCTTCTGGTCACTGGAGAAGTGGTATGGGGAAAGATGATACTGGAATGGTGGCTGATTCAAAAGATGTTAACTATCCCCTTATCGTAGCACAGATCTCCCAGTTTTTGCTATACTTTCGTATTTTGTGTTATTGGATCAATTGGAAATTTGTCCGTAGAAAACCTAGCCACCATAGTACCAAACACTAATAGGTTTAGGTGTAGTAGTTTACAGCAGAATTGGGCAGAGGTAGTTTTGTCTCAACCTGTACATTGCCATTTTCTCTCTGCAGAAGCTGCTGTCTGATGAGAGGTTTGTATCCATGGAAACAGACTCAGATGAGAAACAGTTGCTTAATCAGATGCTGAATGCCGTCAAAGTGACTCCTTCGCTCAATGAAGACCTGCAGGTTGAAGTGATGAAGGTTAGTGTTTCACACACGTCAGTGCTTGCAACAGAGGCTGCCTGACTGAATGCTGGGGTTAGCAAACAAATGAGCCGTTGCCTTGGAAATCTTCACCTTAGGACAGTATTTGATTCCCTCCTTCCTGCTGGCAGATGTCAGTTGTTTCCATTTCTACTGTTTGTTTCCCTGGGTTAAGTAGGAGATAGTTTATATTAAAAGTCAGTGCACTGGTGGTCCCAGTTTTAGCAAACTGAAACAGGACCATCAATTCACTCTGTGGGAGTTCACAGATAAATGACTTGTAGATTTGGAAGTTTGTGTTTGGTATTGAGCTTTAGTGCTCATGAGGTGGGCTGTGCAGGTTTGTAATTTTGAATTGTGTGTGCGTAGGTGCTTTCTAGTTTGTTAGCTCTATATTCTCTTTGTAAAATGCTAATGATGCAGCATGATTTGTTTAGGCACCAAAATGTCCCTCGACTAGTGCTTAAGGGAAATTATTGTTTTGTATACTCAGTGAAAGCTTCCATTTCTAGAAATGCTTTAGCGTTCTCCTGTGCGTGTTAAGAAGCTCAGCTGCCAGGAGTTACTGTTTTGAAGGGGAGGTGCTGTCAGATTTCCTTGCCCTGTCATTGGGTTGGTTGTATGACTTGCTAGTACTGCCATAAAAAAGTGACTTCCAATACCTGTATTATTTGTGTAAAGCAATACAGTGGTGGATAGTTCTCAGATGTTTGGGTGTAAACTTTGTACTGCAGGGTTTGTTGTGCTATAGCTGATCACTGGTCGAAACCATTTTGGAACAAACCTGGCGGCCCTTTTTGCATGTTCACTATACCTGGTACTGATTGATATATTTGGATCTACTTACTTGACTGTCCTTTGCTTCTAAGTGCATAGATTACTTACTTTATTTCTTTCTTACATGCGACATCCTTGTTCTAATGAATATATGTTATCCACTCTGAAACTGCTCAGTACTAGCTGTACTCTTTGCCACTGAAGATGACTACCTGGGTGCAATATGCACTTAGTGTCAGAACATGCAGAAGGGTGAGCCTAGCAGCAGAAAAAAGGGAGGAGTATTTGTATGGACTGTTACCTGTTTTATGGGAGCAAACTTCTGCCCACGTACAGGCTTAACTGATGACACCCAGATCTGAATCCCTAACCCAGCATGCCTCTTTCCTGCCTCTTTTGTCTCTACAGTGGGAAAGGGGAAGAGGCAAGAAGTAGCACTACTGAACCAGCAGGTCTCTCTTGGTATGCAGTAGTTTTTTGCAAGTCACTTTTTTACCTTCTTGAGTGTTGCAGATTCAGAATCTGCATGCACACTGTTCTTTGAAAACCATGACATGCATCTGTGACACGCTTGCCTCCACACTGAGAAGAATGTGAGCACTGTATTTTACTACAGTTATGAGTGAATATCTTCTCAAGTTGTCTTGATGTGTGAGAAGCAAAAAAACCCCAAGAACCCCAAAACACCAAACCACATAAAACTCAAGCCAAAACCTAAGATTTTATTTATGTATGCTTTTTGTTTTAAAAAAAAACCCAAAAAAACCAAAAACATGTTCAGTTCCAGTTTAAGCGCAAAGGAGAAAGGGGAACATCGTCTCCATTCCACTGGGTGAAATTTTAATGTACAAATCCTTTTCTGGCTAAAAGCACAGCAGAATGCATGTATGGTAAAAATCAAGCTACATCTTTACGTCCTGAGAACAAAGCAAAACTTCTGTTTTGATTTAAATATTTCAAGAGACCAGAGGGCCAAACCGTGTTGTAATCAGGGCAGTTAAAACTCCAAGGCATTAAATCTGAGGCTTGCCTACAAGTCAAATCAAGTAGAGATCTTTTTACATTGTAACCTGAAGGTTACAGATGCCATTGCAACACTTGAAAATGTTGTAGCTAACCCAGGTCTGACGAAATGGCTAAAGCCTTCAGGGGTTTTCCAAGCAGCTGGTCTCAGCAATGCGTTTATATCCCTGGATCTGCTAAAATGTGTCCTCAAGGCAGCATATGATTGTACATTAGACCGTGTTATTCCATACGGAGGAGATTAAATACATCTTTATCCAGTGCAGATATTAGGCACTCTTGAGCATGAGCAGGTTTATATGAAACTGGGCCAGCAGTGATACTGGCCTGGTTCTTCGTGACTTGCTGCACAGTTGCACCAGTCTTGTAGGTATTAAGAATGCAACCATCAAAGATTCCACAAAAGCTTTTAGTCATGCAAAATAGATGTGAAAATAAGAGGTGCAGGAGTACAGACTTCACTGTAGATTGCTGGCATGTAAGCTCCTAAATCCCTTAAATGTTTTTGTTTTTTTTTTTTTAAATCCTATCCAAAATATCTCCTGTTGTTCCCAATAAGTGTACACCAGAAATTCACACTTCACATATTATCCAAAGCAAATGTTTTGAATATTTATTTTAATGGTTTGTTGTCACCCACCTGTATTGCGGATGCGAGTGTGAAGGGATTTGATTAGCTGAGGAGAGCATTCTGTAAAGCTTTTTACATTCAGGTGACTGCAAGTTGGAATTGGCAGTGAAAGGAAGAACACAGGAGAAGAGGCATAAGTGCAGTTAGTTGCCTTGCTTGATACGCTTTTGCAACCTATCAAATATTAGTGTAAAGGGGCAGCATTAGACAGGAATGGAATAGAGTAACTGTAATGGTTGCTGTAAATAAATGGAGAGGAGTGCTAGCTGGACCTCTTCTGGCACTGAAAAAAACAAGCAGTTGGGGCCACTGTTGTAAAAGTGGAACGGCACTCACTAATTTATGGCTGGGTACCAAATCCTCCTTATTTTTAAGCGTGAGTGTCATGTCATGCTCTACAGATTCCCAGATTGGAGGATCACAAAAACAGCGTGCTGACAGTGGTCAGGCTTAAGGACCAGGGCTGGGGACTGTGCTGGAGTGCATCCTGGGCAGCCAGGGAAGATTTATACTGCCCAAATGCAGCTGTCGAGATGAACTCAAAGCCTTCATCTCTCACAATACCTCTCTCCTCTGTGCTAGAGGAGGTACCTCTTATCCTTTTTATAAACTTTGATTTAAAGTGGAATTTTACTTTTTGTAATAAGCAAATATTAAACTAAACTCCAGGTTAGGGATTGCTGCCAGTATCTCTAGTTCTTCTGAATACCAGTTGTGGATTGCACAGATCTTAGATGTTTCATATAGAGTGATTATGTGGGGAAATTCCCCCCTTGAATTTCCAGAGTAGAAGTGATACTCTGAAACCCTTGTTTATCTTTTTGCAGGACACTCTTATTATTATCAAGCACTAGGTAATTCTTATGTCAACAGTAGTTTTGTGCCCAAAAGAAGGCAGTGGTCTTCTCAGTGAGGAAGGGGAAAAGACTGTGATTTCTCTGTGACGTGAGTGGGCACCTATAACAAACACAGGTATACTAACTGCATTTGATTTCCCGCATTGTAAAGCAAGCTGTCTGGGGTGTATAAATTTTGCATTCAGACTTGCATGTTATTTAACTGCTGAGCCCTAGTATTTCTTTAGAATATCTCAATGACTGTGCTGTCTGTGTATTCTCTGTACCTCTGATACATTTTATGAAAGACATTTATTAGTATTTTCACACTGGGGACTAAACTGAGGTTATTTAGGTACTTTAAATCATATTAAAAGATACTGAGAAACCAGGTAATCCAGAAAGTGTGACCAGAGGGAGCACTGTATCTGACAGAAGGCCACTTTAGCATTCACCTTTGTTGTTGCCATGATACTTTGCTATCACACTGAGAAGCCCTCTAATATATGTGATATCAGTTTGTGTTTTTACTGTGCTCAGCTGACTGTATCAAGGGAATGGAAAATCACACAATCATATAGTGCCTTGTTGTCAATCTTCTTGTAATACTTCAATAGCTTAATTGCAGTTTCAAATGGAATAATCTAAATATTTTTACTTGTATATTTTCTTGAAAATATTCATGTGATTTGGGAAGGAAGTGATATATTGATCACTAATCAAATTCGGTGTTTTATCAGTGAGGCACCAAAGTGACTCACTGCTTTATTTATACATTTGCAGATGTATAGAAAAAATAGGGGGGGGGCAGTAATTCAGCACTTACCTTAGGTGAATGTGGTCATGCAATTTGGCTGGCCCAGAAGCAGGAAGAATTTTGTTTTGTGACATGGGGCCATGTTATAATTGAGTGAAATGCAAGGGTGTATCTCGTGTTGAGGAGTAGGGACAATTTGTTGACCTTAAGCACTAGACTAGCAAGCAAATAGATAGTCTGCAGCAGAAGGGGGTACTGGACATGTTCTGGATTGAAGATGAGTATCATGGGTTTGGGTTTGGTTGTGGAGTGCGGGGGATCCTGATTTCTTTCCTGGTTTGATGCTTTTAAATTCTGGCTTCAGATGTTTTTAAAATGGCTGAAGTACTTCTGCTTCATGCAATTAGACCTTTGCTTGCAGGAACACATATAGTCTTGACAAAAGTACTGTCAGATATGGTCAGATCAGCAGTGGAAAAGGAAACTAATCTATAGCTGAGCCTCTGGATTCAGGTCCCTTCCAGCCTCAACGATTCTCTGATTTTTACTTTCTCTCTTTGTTTTTTTTTTTGTAATTTTTCACCTGTAACCCTGACCCTAAAATCCAGTTCCTCCAGGAAAGGCTCTTGGAAGAACTAGAATTCAGCTTTGAACATTACTGTGGCGTCGAAGCAGGTGAAACCAAATATGAAGGAAGTGGGTAGGGTGTAAAGAATCGAAAATGGCAAGGACTTTTTTTCTTTTCTTTTTTTTTTTTTTTTCCTTCTCACTAATGTTATGGTGACTTTCATTTATAAGTTGACAACCTTCTTAATAATGCAGTACCCCTCTCTCTAACTAACTGTGATAACGTTATTCTCAAATAACAAAAAAAAAAAGTTTAATGAATAATTGCAAATTAGTGGATGAGTCCTTACCCAGAAATAAGCTCTCCAGATAAACTGGATACACTATGATGTAATGGGTACTGACA